GATACCATCACTAAGTGATATTGTATTCTTGATTCTGTGAAAATTTTCATTGATTTTTAAATACTAGAAATACATTGTTGTAGGATTTCTCCATCTCATCTTAGTCGTCTATCCCCCGCAACTGTGTGCCTTTTTAGGGTCTTAGAACAATATAAAGAAGAATAAACGACCAAAGTTTAATGGGAATGGGAAAGAACACAGGTCAGCCTAGCAAAAACTTCTGCCATGACAACATTTGGTCACGGTACTTCTCCTGCCTTACCATTGCCGTTTTTTATGTTCTCTCTGATATGCTTGTGTGCATTCTCCATGGTTTCTTTTACTTCCCAGGGCCATTTGTTTTTAGGAATGTCCTGCATTGATCTGAGCATCTCAAACATGATGTCAAGCAGTGTTGACAATTCTCTTCCCAGCATCAGGTCATTGGGAGTGTAGCCAGTTGTCTCATGAACAGAAGCCCTGTGTGGCATCATTTCAAATGGTAAGTGTTTGTCCCTATCAAAATGTTGTTCATTCACGTAAGCTCTTAACATTGTAACTAAAGTCGTGATAAAACGCTATACCATTCCATTCAGGTCTTCTATATAGAATGTCATTTTTCAATAAAGAAATTGTTCCACTGTGTCATAAAGAACGTAGGATGTATCCTTGGCCTCTGACCACACTGTACTCAGGTCTTGTCTTTTCATTGACCCAATGCTTGACAAGAGTTAAATCATTGTTTTTGTCATGCATGTCTTCATCGACAAAAACTGGATCGTCATCATCTTCCTTTGAACCACTAGTTCGTGTTAATGCTCTTACTTCGTCCGGCTTGATACCTTCAAAATCTTTTTTCCCAGTTTTGATCAAAACCACATTGACCTATCGTGTCTGCATTGCTATATTGGATTACTGATCGATGTTGTTTGTCGAAATTACGAACTAAGGATTTCCTACCAACGTGCAAACTGTCCTTCTGGATTCTTAATGTTGAAAAGACACCTTGAGATTCTATGGTCTGTTCGGACTATAATTTTTTTCTACCATACAAGTAAAGCTTAAAGTGCTTGACAAAATGAACAGCCGCAAGTACTTCCTTTAAGTAAATGTAACACAGTACCTGCGCTCACACTGTGTCAAAGTCCGGCTTGCATAAGCAAGAACCCTCTTGACCATCAATCTTTTGTGATTAAACTGCGCAAATAAACACATTATTGGCATCGGTATCTAAAATAAATGGGTAAGAGAAGTCGGGATGCCTGAATATGGAAGTATTCGTCAGCTTATGTCTAAGAGTGTCAAATGCCTCTTGACATTCATATAACCAAACAGAGGCGTGACCTTTCTTTGTCAGCATGTGTAGGTATTTTGCAATGCTTGAGAAATCTTTGATAAATCTCCTTTAATAGCTGCATAGTCCAAGAAATGAGCGTATCTCATTGGCTTTGTAGGTACTGGCCGTGTTTTACTGCAGTTATCTTGTCCGGGTCAGTCGCTACACCTTCCTCTGAACATACATGTCCAAGATAAGTCATCTTCTTGTCTAACAAGCAGCATTTCTTTGCTCTGAGTTTAATACCTGCATTTTGAAGTTCTTTCTAAGGTTTACCAACATTTCCTCAAAGGGCTTGCCTGTCACTACATCATCCACGTTAACTAGACAGATATCCAAGTGAAGGCCTACCAAGACACTTTGCATTAAGCGTTCAAATGTTGCAGGGGAGAAACATAAGCCGGATGTGTGGCAAACGCTGTCTTGCGTTTGTCGCCTGGCTCCACTTCTACCTTCCAATATCCTGAACAGAGATCTAGAGTAGAGAACCACGACCTACCACTCAACTGATCAAAGGACTTGTCTACTCGTGGCAGGGGTACGAATAGGACGTAAAACAACATACAATCATCAATCAATCAATCCATCGTCTTCCTCCACGTCTCCAGACTGGCCCCACTAACCTCACCAGATGAGTGTTCTGGTGTCTATACCTGTAAATGGACTTTTTCTACTTGTGTTCAGCTCTCTACGCGATGCATAGGCCTCAAGTTCAACAGCAAGTCGGATGGGTTTGAGCACGAAATTGTTTGCTGCGGTTTCTCATTTCTGAAGCTACCAAAGCATAAATAAACGCAGCTTTGTCCAGAGTTTGACGCACCAAGTGCTGATATGTAGACCAGATTGGTTAGTCGTCTTATGACCTGACCTAAGTCTGGTATAGCCTCAGATGCTCTTTGTCTTCGTTCTTTTAGCTGAACACGATATAGATCTGTTTGGTTAGGAGGGGGTACCTCTCCCACAGGGATCTAACCAGTTTCTTAAAATACTGACAAGTATCGCTTGGTTAGTCATCTAACACCGACTGTGCTTGGCCACGCAGTGATAAAGTTAAATTATGACTCCTCTTATCTTCTGTCCAACTGTTTACAACAGCGCAAGCCTAAAAATGTGATTTCTAGTACAAACAGGTACTTGTACCGTCGTACGTGGGTGTCTTGATTATATCGCCTGCCTTGGCATTGTCTGTCCCCGTTGACTGCCTCTGTGGTTTTGGCGTGTAAAATAGATGGCCCTTTAGGATGTCGTTTAACTCAGCTCTTGGTGTATAACTTGCTTTGCCTTCATCTAGAAATCTTACTCTAGGACTTGCACCGTACTCATCAAATGACACATCTCCTGACATACCGGCCGGCTGATTGTTAGTACTGCGTGTCGCTTTATCAAGACTCTTGGTATGTAGCATTTGTTTGACTATAGCCGCTATTTGGTGTTCTCATCTTCTCTAATTAAGAGCTTCTCCATCCGCCCTATGATTTCTAACACTTTCTTATACGAATCCATGGTCAGCAAAATCCCGATGCTTGCAACCATGACATATAACATGCAACGCGGCCGAGCTGGTGATCTGTCTTGTATCACCGAGGCCTTACACTCATGTTCGTTAACCTGTTAACTCAGAATTTCGTTGACCGAATATTCACAATTATAGGTAAACTTTAATGCAAATACAATGGGTTTCTTCTTGATTCGACAACTATTAACTGTGGTAAACGGGTGTTTCCTGTTAATGAATTAACTCCGAGTCTGCCACTTCAAAGGTACAAAATATCCTGGCACGTACTTCCTCCACGTACTTTTGTGGTATGCCAACTCTCTCTCAAACCCAACTGACTGCCTTATTCAGGTCTTACGTGTTCCGGTAAATAATAAACATTTAGTCGTGTATCCCTCGCAACTGTATGCCATTTTCAGGTCTTAGAACAATATATAGGAGAATAAACGACCAAGGGGTAACAACTCCGTTACCAGAGTTATCCTGTGCACTATAATATGGCATGTATTATCCCAGTGCATTCTCTGTATTTTGGCTTTTCCTCCCTATCTATAAATGGTCACAGCATCATAAATTATAAGACAGATCGACCTGCTTTTAATATGCAACGCACAATCTACACAAGATGTATCAGTCTGATGATTCTAGGCCTAATGGTATGAAAGTTATGACCCCCACACGAAAACGCTCACAGAAAGACATACAGACAGAAGGATGGACATGAACGCTATTTTTTGACCGTCTTAAGACAGGGTATAAAAAGGATGAGATATTAGTATTTCTTAGTAGAAAGAATTAACTCTAGGTACATTCTGCTGTCATTTCAAAAACATCTACTGGAATGTATGTACAGTTTGATTTTTATAAAAAAAAAAATTCTACTAGTTCGTCATTGTGTTTTAATTTACCCATACACAGAAAAAAAAGTCGCACAAGACAAAAAGAATTTGCCCCCAATCTTCCTATCTGGGGTGGGGGATATAAACAAAATTCTAATGCTAACATTAGTACATGTACCAATGCAACTTTTCCACTCCTGTGGAATCATCAAAATTTGCTGGGGCCAATTTTCATGGATTGCTTAAATATTTACAGATTTACGCAGACAAATTTTGGTATATTCATATATATACCTACAAAAGGAAATATAACTTCGCAGCCCAAATATGGAGGATAAAAATTGGTTTATTCCATCAATGCGAGTCATAATGAAACCCAATGACTCCAAATTAATTCAAACACGTAATGCTTCAGTCTGTTTAGAGGGAACAGTTGATCAAACACAGAGGATAAAACCCTGCTTTTCAGTTAAATAAAAGGTGGCTGAAATCGTACTGAACTGCAGAGTTCTGCCATTCAGTGACTTCCAGATCTTTCTGTTGACTGGAAGGCAGAGTTTTATCCTGCTGTACCACTCCAACAGTGAGGAATCTTTGCTTTTTTATGATAAAAATACCTCCCACTCTCATTAGCTGTCTGAGTAGTTTCTCACTTGTGCACTCTGAAGCCCGTTCAAGAGAGGGAATGTTTGTGAACACTCGCCAAAATTCCTTATACCTTCAACAGACATCTTTGCTAGCACTCGCTCTGTTGAACATGCTTCAGAATTAATGCTGCTACTTTTTTTTTCAGCTTTTTCTTAGCAAATAACCTGCATTGGTTATATATATAGTAGCCATAAGTTGGAAGCTTGAATCTAATGCCCTATTCATATGGCGAGTTTAATTCGAATTAAATGTAAGTAACTGGGAATTAAATTAAACTCTCATTGTGAACAGGGCATTATATACTACACCATGTTAGTCAAAGATTACAAAGCTGTTAATCTTCAAGTCAACATCATCTTAATTCATTAGATTGATTGTTGTTCAACATTCCACTACAAAATTTTTCACTCATATGGAGATGCCACCACTTGCCGGTGGAGCTACAAATTTTGTCCTATATACGGCACTCAGGGTCATTGAGCAGGGAGGGATCTTTTTCATACCAAAACCTACTGTGACATAGGACCTCGGCTTATAGGGTCTCATCCGAAGGACTGGTCTCTAAGTTCCACAGTGGGATTCAAACCCATGACATAAAGATCAACTCCTTCCTCCCGCCACTTTAGAACAGACGCTCTAACCACTGCACAATGTGGGCAACTAATTCATTAGATGAAATCATAAAAACTTTATTTTACCTTTCAAATCATTTATTTTTCCAGAGGCTGATAATGATTTGAATCATAATGTACTTAATTTATTAACAGATAACAACAGCATAATCACCATATACATCTTCCAAATGTGTTCATTATGTTTCTTTGAGTGTCTCTGTATGGTTCTATTAATCCATGTCCAGAAATATATGTATCACAATTAACACCACTCTAACAAATGAATCTTTTTTTTTTTTGTGAATGGAATCTCATGTCAGCTTTTCCCCTTTCCTTTTCCTTTCCCCTTTCCTTTGGAGGAAGTGGTTTTAGCTTCCTTTTCCTTCCCTTTTGTTTTCTTTGCTTGCTGCAATGAGAAAGTATATTTTCAAATAAATAAATTCTTCTGCAGGCTTTGTATACAGCACGGATCAGGAAAGTAAATCTAAACTGAATCCAAAATAAAAAAAATCCTAAAACTTGTAATTTTTTTTCTCAGTTGACTAGTATCAATCATAAAATAAAGTAAAGACATGGTAAAAAAGCTTCTTTTATTTTGATAAATGAGAGTCACAAAATTTTAATCTTAAACAGTTATCGGAATGTTTACTAAATTAAGGGGTGTTAAGAAAGTTCGTTCCAGGATGAAATATTTTCAAAAATTTCAAAGTAGTGCTTAACTAAAGAGATGAATTTCAAGTCTGACAAAATCACAAGAGTGTGCTTTAGATTTATAGTAATTCATTTCTAGCAGGAAATTATAGGATTTTCCTTCCATATGAAAATACATATAACATCTTTAAAGCACCCGAATAATAGAAATGCTGGTCATTTCGAGTGAAAATAAAGGATAATTTACTGTTGTTTCTTCAGAGCTTATCTTGCATCAGACAAGCTGACGAACGTAGGTATAAAAATGATAGATCACTTTTCAATAGAATAGGTTTGTCATTTTGGAATTCTCCACAGATTTGGTAATTTTTGCATAATATTTGAAAGGAAGTTTTGACCTGTGTGCTTTATATATGTCACAAATATGCGTCATCCCAATTTTTTCTGAACAGACATCATCTGTTTTAATACCTGCCCTCCCCTTATTGATTCAACAAAAGACAGTTAAAACCTTATCAGTAGCACGAATGGACTCTGTAAACATGAAATATCACAAACTGTAAATATCTTCTCATCGGATTTCTATTTGAAAATAAAAGAAAAATGTGGAACGAATTTCTTAACACCCTTTACAAGCAGGATTACCACCTTAATCATGGAGTCCATTTCTATGTCCTCTGTGTCCTCTTTGTCGCTATCTGGGGCGGTTACTACGTCCTCGCCCTCCCCCTCCAGACCATAATCCTCGGTAGCAGGTGCCCCTCCACCCCGGCCCTTCTTGGTCAGGGCACCAGTAACATACGGGGTCAGATGGACCTCCTTATTGTAGGTTCTCGTAAAAGCTGCTTTTGTCTAAAATGTAAAATGTTTAAAGATAGAAATAACTCACTATTTTTTTGGTTAGAATTTCCACTTTATAAAATATTCAAATACATCACAACAGAATATACTTTGTAAAGGGGAATGTTTTTTTTTTTAAATAAGACTTGAACTAGTCATATATATTTAATATCTGTAGAATATACAAAGGTCAAGGGAAAAAATTCTTGCAAGAAATAACAAAAAAATTTTTCTTCTTAATCTGATTTTCATTGTCCAACAATTTATAATTATTCACGACCTCTCCCCTGACAAAATCTAATATTTTCTGTTACACTCTAACCTTGGAGCTGAGGAGTGACATTGGATCGGCACTGTTCGGCCATTTTGTGATCTCCAGAATGTTGTCAAAGTCGTCCTTGATGATGTCATACTTGTCCATCAGATCTATGACGTCAGGTATACCATCATTCTCCTTGGTAACTAATGGCAACGTCAGAAACTTCCTCATGTAGGGGAGATAATCCAGATTCAAACTCAGCTTATTAGCCGAGGTCCTACAAATAAATTTTATTTTTTTCAAAACACACAAGGTGAGAACTTATTAATACACTCCTTTATATCAAGCGGTCAGTCAGGCATATTTGCTGTCTGGTGGCTGTACATCAATATAATCCTTATGAAAATAATTCATTATCACCTCTGGGAACCAATCAGTGGCTTCAATATAAGTGAAATTTCAAAATAGCCAATTTCACTTTATCCTTATTTTTATGCCAAAAAAATTAAAGGTTAAGGAATGAAGCTGATTTGAACCTATGTTATATGATACAATGTATAACATAACCTGGGGCAGTTTATGCTTTATAAACCGCGAAGCTGGTTATAAAAAGCATTGACTGTCCAAGTTATGTTATATCAACCAACATAGGTTCAAATAAGCTTCATTCCTTATAATTCAGTTTCAGTGTAGAAAATAAGACTGTCACAATTTTCACCCAAAAAATGGCTTCAAAATGAGCATATTTTAAAAGTAACGTCAAGTGGAGTACCTGGGTAATATGTTTTTGACGTAACTCATTGTGAGGTAGACAACTTAGGTTATACAATAGAAATTAAATCTTTTATCCAATCAAATGACATCTTACAACTAAAATGAAATTTTTATTTCAAAAGAAAAGGAGTTTCAAAATAAGTGATTTCATTATATATAAGTGGAGCAATTACTGCTTCTAGGCTATGTCAATCTTCAAAAGGATGAAGCAGTCACTATAAAGTTATTGTGATGAAATTAAAAATATTTCTTTATATTTAATGTATGCAAATATTGTTTTTGTCTACTTCGAACAAATTTCTCAAGGCCACATTTACATGTATCTTCTCAAAATCAAAGTGTAAAGCTCACAGTGTGGAATGCTTCCTCTACTGAAGACTACACCTCTCTTTTTAACCACAATATGTTAACATGCATGTGACTGATATAACATGTAATATTAAAGGAAATTACTTAAGGTAGTCTGATCCTCAGGTATATAAAATTAGCAGTTAAGTAATCAAAAATACTCATAAAAGTATCTCTGAATCCACAAAGTTATGTAAATTTATCCACAATATTTCTTTAAAGTGATAGATTACAGTTAATAATATCATATAAGGAAAATTCTCAAATCTCCAATATTTTTGCAGAAAAAGCGAATTGGAATATCAGCAATGCATTTTCTAATTGCAAATTGATCAGCAAATATATTTTAGGTTGAAAAACGATAGGTATCCAGGCATTCAGACAAATTGTCATGATTTTCATACTTATTTGGTATTTTTTGTCTTCTATTTCCGTCATGTATTCTATAATACATAGTGTAAAAGGCTTTTGCGATCATAGCAAGACACCACAAATCACTTCTCATTTCATATCATGCTAATAATCATTGATATTTATCATTTAAGGCTGGATTCAAGAAAATCTTATTTCTCCAAAACTGTATTAATTTTTTCTCCTTTTATAGGGTAGAAATCTCAACTTTTATAAGACCTTTTCTAGGACTTCCAAAGACCTTGAATCTTCTAAAGATGAATAAAATTAAAATTGTTGCAAGAAAAAATTTCATTTTCAAGCTTCATCTTGATGCATTTCAAATTAAATATTAATTTTGGGAGTTATCCTTCCTGGCTGAGGATTGGATATCCTTAAAATGTTATATTTACAAATTCTTAACCAAAGGGAACAATTCCTTATTTGTGGGCTGCTATTACATTTTATTATACTTTCATGTTAAATCATACATGCCAACTTTTGAAAATTCCTATGGGGGATTTTGCGCGTGACGACATTTTTCATAGCTTTAAATTCGCAACATTTTGTCGTGAAATTAAATGATTATGACATGATCCTTTTTTAAAATTTATAATATAATTAATATCACTTATTAATACTACTAAAGGATAAAAATAACACAAAAATAAGGTTTTTCTTTCCAAAATGGAAATATTTTTGCTCAAATAGGTGCCTCTCTCACTAAAGAAGGGATAATTAGTTACATATGTAAACTTTTTTTTGCCAGCTAGGACACATAATTTGGTGAAAAATTGAAAATTGTACAACTTTTGATACTGTAAAGTATTGTTTCTGGGAACAATTATGAGATTTTTATATTTTAATTAATTAGGAATTCTAATCAGATATTAAATTTAAAGAAATTTTGAGAAATTGCAATGCATTTATTTTTTATTCAAAGAAATAAATCATCGGTTTTGAAGAATTAAATAATCAATTTTCTAACATAAAGATACCACCTATCCCAAAGAAATTAATTTTTTTACAGTCTTGAACTTTGGCAGGCTTGATGGTGCTATGTGGGTATTTCTTAGTCATAAAATATTATAATTACTTTTGGGAGAAGGGAGCTAGGGAAAAGAAATTCTAATTGACATAGACTTTATTGTTTCATCAGGATTTTTTAAAATATTATTTTAACTAGCAAACTTTACAATATTTTTTCATTATAGGTAGATAAAGTCAGCAGCTATGCTTTGTAGTTTTCTACTTTCGTTTTCAAATAACGATGTATTTGATTTTATGGTTTGGTTATTATTTAGTTGTCTTTAATTTATGTTTTCAATAAAATGACAAACAATTATCCCCTTAATCTATGTGTTTCACCTTGCGTACCCCTTAAAACTCAAAGATAATCCCCTATTAATTGCCCCATGCTATAAGCTACCTGCACCTGGACCACTCCGTGCGTTCAAGCGTGAAGTGATTTCCTGTGGCTAATTAACCATGTTAACACCTAAATAAACAATGAAACTTATCTGTGTGCATTGAATAAACAAGTCTGATATTGTTATCCCAACTGACAAAATTCAGCAGTATAGGGAAACTTATAAAATCGGAAATTTTGTGTGAATTTTTTACAAATCGGGAAATTAGGTCAATTTTTCTCTCCCGATCGGGAAGGCGGGATGAAAGGGTAAAATCGGGAGAATCCCGCCTAAATCGGGAAAGTTGGCATGTATGTGTTAAATACTAAAATCTGATTGGTTTAGACGCAGTTAACAATCAGTTCTATTACCCTCAGCCTTAGCAACACACGTGACAACGGGTAACACAACGGTAATGCCACATCCGTGGAAATTATGCGCGTACGGTTCACCGTAGAATTCTCAAAACGTCAGTTGCGCGTTTGAAAAAAACCGGAATAAACTTGACGTCAATAAAAGCTTGCGTCCGATGTAGCTTACCTACTTGAAAACAACAAACGACAGACGAAACATGCTTGCGAGTGCAGAAATAACGAAACTTTAGATGATAAAGGACTCGTAGAGTATCAAATAAACAATAAAGAGGTCAGTAAATTTTTTTCTAAGTAGCGGGGAGTTTGAAAGCTTTCTAAACGTGAACGAAAAGGCGATCAACGATTTGTATTGCTGACATAGTAAATCAAGAAGACATTCAGTATAATGAAATAAATGGTGCCTGTTTTGGAGGGTAACAGTTGAAATTGACACCCCAAGGAAAACCATTGTCAACTGATGCGTCAGCGGAGGTTGACAATGGTTTTCCTTGGGGTGTCAATTTCAACTGTTACCCTCCAAAACAGGCACCATTTATATAATACTAATGGAAATCCAATATAAAATACCAGTGTGTAATAACAAGTAATACTCGTGGAACTTACATTACATGTAATACTAGATAAGAACTTCCATACTTGAGTCTCGGATAACAATTAATACATACGGTAGTGACATGTGGGTTCTCAGCTCCTGTAGAATGCGGTCGGTTTTGCCGGTGGTGGAATTTTTGCCGAGCCAGCTTGGGAAACTGACCATTTGCTGTAGACTTCCTCTCATGTACTCCCCAGGGATTACACTGGCATACATTGCCTGTATCAGTGGAAAATCAATGAAATGTAAAACTTTGGAACCATTTAAATTTGTGGACACCAATTTTCATGAGTTGCCTTTAACAAGTTTGAAGAGATGTTATTTTGTGCCTTCACTGATGTTTACTAAGGAAAATTAATACCAGTAATTAATTTGATGAGGATGTGAAATCATGGATGCAAGGTTTCCATGAATTCCACTTACAGTGAGCCACCATAAAGTTTAATGATTTCAAAGTATCAAAAAAAAATTTAATATCCTTCTTCGGCAATTTTATTGAAAATTTTACTAAAATAGGAAGCCATGATAAAATTCTCAGTATGGTTTTACGAGTTTGTTTCTAATAATGCCTGTAGAAGCTCACCGCGGTGGGTAGCAGACTCCAGGACTGGTTACCACGGATACAGCTGTCTAATCTGTCACCGTCACACAGACTATCAGCGGCTCTGGCCAGCAGAGACAAATGACGCGTTACGTTACCTCTGTAAAACAAGATCATACGTCATAAATATAACCTGATCAGAACAAATACAGGGAACTACTGAAACTCAAATTTCAAGAGACTGCTGAAAGAACTTTGGTCTGGAGTTAAAAAAATTTTAAAGCAAAATAATATATTATTATATATCATTTAGTTTTCCTTGGGATATATTGAATTGTGAGGGAAAAAACTATGGTTTCTATGAATTTAAACTATGATGTTTATGGTTTCTCTATGTTGAAATTTTACTGTTTCATGGAGGACATGAATTCATGAATATTCACATCAAGAAAACAATGTCAATACTTCCCCCCCCCCCTCCCCATCTCAAAATAAGAGATTTGAAAGTGCATGTCTAAAATCATTTAAATAATATTTTTCTTTAGAATTTTAAATATATTTGCATCAAATTCATAGTGAGTTTTGGTGACTAGCAGTTTTTTTTATTAAATCATTATCACTGTGTAACATTTGTTTATTGCATGTAAATTGCACTTAATATAGATTATTTTATGAAATATACAAATAATCACTCTTAATTGACGGAAGTTACATGTAAGTTATATGGAAAGGAGGAATCAATTAGGTACAACTTGTTGTTCAAGCGCATCCACAGGAAGTGAATTGTGGTACAACTTAACAACTTTCTCTTCACATTTTCCTGCTGAGGTACAATCGCATCATCTCAGGTCTTTCCACACAGAGGTCTGTTATAAATTACCTCAAAATTTTAACATCACCGGATGTTAAAATTTTATACATTTCCTGTTTATTCAAATATAGGATAGACAGGGTTAGATTGAGTCCCTTCTATAGTATATTTTAAGTAATATCATTACATTGTATAAAGTTCAACTCCACATTCCACAAATAAAAGGTATCCATGCATTTATTTCAAAGATTGTGAAAAAGGAGGGTTGTCATGGCATCTACCATATACATTCGAGGTCTTTCTTCCGCTAGTCGGAAAGGCCCGAGAAGTTGCGATTGCGCTGAGGTAGTCACATGGTTACTTCCAAGTATAGCTTAAAAACCCACACACCGAAGCCCCCTTTTTTCTGTTATAAATTATGTCAAAATTTTATACATGTTCACTTTAACAAATGCAACAGTAATCAGCGTCCAGTTTTCCTTTTTACAGATTCACCAAAAGTTGAGTCGGGGATTGACAACACCAATCAGCATCCAAGACGATAAAACCTTACCAGCCAGACCACCGAAGGGAATACTCCTTATCCTTGTTCAGGACCCTATAACCATGAACAATTTTCTATTCAAACCTCGTTTAGTGACACAAATCAAAACTTGAAGATCAAATATCCACAGACTTTACAATTACCCTTAATCTGTCGCGTTGTCCTCTTTTGTGATTGGCGGGTCTGGGGGGACCTAAGGGGGGTTTTCGGGACATTTCTTGCCTGTGTTTCCCCCATCCGTCAACTAAGACAGAGGGCAGTTGTTGTTTAGTTGGGAAAGTATTACCCCTTATGTAGTTTAAGGTTGGGGTTCTACAAGTTTAAGCCATACTTGGTGCCCCCTTCACCACTTTTAAAAGGAGGGAAGGCTCACAGTCTGGAGTACTCAGTGTCAGTAAGTACTATCAAACCAGGGAGCAATATTTTGGAAACAGGGTAAACAGATATGTCCCAGGCTATTCCCGTCCACATGCTAGTTGTCAAGCATTGGGACTTCACTGGCACTTGTGCTCAACACAAGGCCTCCGTCATGCCCGTTATGCACCTTTGCGTGTTGGTATTTCCGCCGTAACCCCAGACCTTCTATAAGATTTGGGGACAATGTGGCCATTTATGTCCATTATCCGTAGACTCTACAGTGAATATTGACAATTGTTGCATTAGAAACGTTGTGATTATAATAATTGGTGTAATACTACTATTGCTGAGTTGAATAAATGTGAAATGAACTTTTTTATACATTCCTCAAGGCATAGGAATAGTGGTAATGCTAATCGACAGTATGAATTGCAATGAAATTTAGCATGCAGAATGGTTCTATGCAAAATAGAAACCAATCGAAATACCAAAAAAGTTGGCAACGGTTGAGGCAATATACAGACTGTTAAATTAATGTCAAGGAAGTTGTTAATTTACAGTGTATAAACAGATGCACCTTCCCTTTTATTGTTTTTCACTTATTAAATAGAAATCAGTAAACATTTAGTCAATTCAACAAGTAATATGTCTCCTTTTCCCATTTTACTACAATAGGTATGACTAACATCCAATAAATAATCCAACTATCAAGGGGGTGTATCCAAAAGTGAAGTCTGCCTTTTTTTTGCAAACATCCAATTAACCAATTTAATGTAAGTGTAGAGGGTTCATGTATTGATACCGTCTGTAGTTATCACAAGTTTAAAAATAAGGATAGGAGTTTAAAAGTATTTCTCAAGATCACAAGTTTTGAGAAAACATGGTTCAAGATCCAGAGTCAAGTTTCTTTTTTTTTTTAGAGAAAAATCAGGACCAGGACCTGAATTCAAAAGTTCAAATAATTACGAGTCTGCCACGGCTGTTCAAGCACTGATCCACATTTAAAGATATCATATACCCAGTAATGTATATTGGAATTTCTAAAACAGATGCTAGGAGCAAGGACTGCGTCACCCTGAGGGGGAGATCAATGTCACATCCTGTTACTAAGAGGATGTATCACCCTAATGTTTAAACCATTTACTTCCTTTGATTTTTGACATTTCTAATAAGAAATCTATCTTAACAATGTAGAAATAAAATGTTACTTTGCAGCATATGGAATAACATGGATGTAGTTTTCCTGCACAAACAATGGACCGATGTTGTAGTCTTGAAAATAGAGATCAGACTTGTCATTGATAGTCATGCCTGCTGTTTCCTCTCCCCCCACAAAAACCTTACGGCAAACGTCAAAAGGGCCCTGTAAATAAAGTAACACATCAAAAGGGCCTTGAAAATAAATTTACACAGTGAATTGGGACAAACATCAAAAGGGCTCTGAAAACAAATTTACACAGTAAATTGGGACAAACATCAAAAGGGCTCTGAAAATAAATTTACACATCAATAGAACTCTTGAATTTACACATCAAAGAGCCCTGCATGAAAATTTACACACTGAATTATGAAAAAAACATCAGAAGGGCCCTTCAAATAAATTAAAACATCGATAGGGCCCTACAAATTAAATTTACACACTGAATTAAAAAATAAAAAACATTAAAAGGACTCTGCAAATAAATTGACACACTGAATTATGAAAAACCAAAACTGGACACAAGGGCGATAACTGGACATTAAGAGTGAGCCCTGATGACACAATTCTACTCACCAGTTTGAAGTCCTTCTTGGCATTACTGGAGTCTTTCTTGGCCTGATCATACGTCAAACTTTTTTCTCCAGCTGTCCACATAGATAAATTATGCAGAACCTAACAAGACAAGAAGCTAGCTTCATTGAAATGCTCAGATTTTTCTCTCTGTGAGTCAGAACCAATAACCTTATCTTTACCTTTTACTGAGGGTTTCATCCTTAATTTACAAACTTTTCAAGAATAAGTATTGACTTGACATTAACTTACTTGTCTGATGTCTTGGTTGGCTGCCAAAATGATTTCATTCAGGGCTGGTGGGGGAATTTTTAAGCCCTCTTTAAAAGCTACAGACATCATAGCCCCCTGAAAATGAATCAAACTTGAATGAAATTTCTTTACCTTATGGACTACTCATTCTGTTTACAACAATATGTGGAGGTAGAGAAAGACTATCTCAGGAAGAAATCAAATAACTATAAATATCTAAGTTATGATTATCATAGCATCTGTCACAACACAAAGAACAAGAGGATCTTTGACTTGAAGCAACATGATTTTTTACAATTTGTAAAAGACTAAGATCATCATAATATTGCATGATGCTCAATTCCAATGCATAAAATAAAAAATGGTTTGTTTGCAGTTGCCTACCGACCCACTAAAAAAAAAATCATGATACCTACCTACCGACCCACTCTAAAAAATGTAAGTCTGCAACTACAAACAAAGAATTTTTTAAGCTTGGCCCCATATGGCCCAAAAGTAAAATAGATTTTAAATGATTATGCATTTTTAACATAAATGAGGAAAATTTTCTTTGACAAATTTTCAGTTTAAAATTCTCTTTCCTGCAGTGACACTGAAAGTCAACGTTCTAATACGTAATTATTGAACTTTGACCTTGATTTGCTCCAATCGAGGCCGCTGAAATCGAAGGTCAAAGCAGTAGTTGGAGAGGGTCCTCATCTTTGGACTATTTCTGTCGTTACACATACAGATGATAGGGATGTGGGAGGACTTAATCAGGGACACTAACTCCTGCAGTCCCCCGCGGTCTTCATTCCCCGCCATTCCGTCCACTTCGTCCATTATCAGGCAGTGCTTGTGTCCATGTGTAGTGCTCTTAGCAACCCCTGAATTACAAATTTAAACATTTTCATCTTACAAAGCCAACCTTAATTTGTGACTGAAGTATTTCAATTATTGTAATTTTTAAATTTTTTTGCTTTGGCTTGGTACATGTATTGTACATGCTGTAAAAAGAAATCATTTACTATGCATTTTTCTTTTCAATGATTTGAAAATTATCAGAGATAAGAATGTTTTTAGATATTCCAACTTTCACCAACCAAGATAATCCACTATAGTTGTATTGTCGAGTGATTCTGCGACCACCTCCTTCAAACTTTTCTTTGATCTTGTGTCTGAGGCATTTAACTCTACATAGGAGAAACCTGCCTCCTAGTAAAAGAAAATGAACAATAACTGTACATATAATTATATCTACTGAGCTGATATATCTAGTAACTGTGGACATCTTCAGAGGTACTAACATAATCCATGGGAGAGGACTATCTAAGTTTTAAGAACTTGTGTCCAATCCCTTTGACATGTTTGTCAACAAAATATATTCAAAACAAACAATCCATGTTGGTACACATTACTAACCTGGCACACTAATGTAGCTGTGGTGGTTTTCCCGATCCCCGGGGGACCTGATAGAAGGGCCGCCTTAAATCCAGACCCATCGTCATTCTTACCAAAAAATTTACCTGGAAATCAAATGTTGATCCTTGTAACAAAATCAACTAACAACACTTTATATAAACATGCACAGAAATATCTCTCAATCATTTATAGGAGAGTAAACTACTTATAAAACAGATTCCTTAAAAACCTGCACCCCATTCCATCCCTACCCCAGTACATGTATTATGTACTCCTGCTTTTCAAGTAGGGGGGGGGTTATGATAATTCTCAGACTAATAATTTTTAGCTCTGTAATGCTATACCCACCTTGTGGTTTGGTTCCCTTTGCCTGGTTCTTGTGCCAGTTGGTTAACCAGTGGAGTAGTTTCTTGGCATTACTTTTATCCCCGGTTTGACCGATGATCTGCTTCAGTTGAGTGGGTTTATACTTATCTACCCACATCAGGCTTTCCTCCACAGACTTACTGCTCTCACTTGATTGACTGTTTGTGGGGGACACAGAGTCTTTTGTTTCTGTTTTGGGCTGAGATTTTGATTCAGACACTATAGACTTCACTGGGGGTGCTGATGTCTTTTTTGAAAATGACTCCTAAAAACAAATAAAGAAGGACTACACTGGGCTTTTATAAACTGAAACTAAGTAGGGAAATACACAACTGAGCATTAATTTTATTCAAATTCTATACCCGTCCCTTGCATTATCCATGCCTCTACATAATACTATTGTCTTCATATTTCATTCTCCATGAAAATTTGCACAAAATATACTGTTTAAAGAAGAGAAGATCTGGAACTAACATGTTGATAAACAATGTTTTAAAAATTAATTCTGGTAGTAAACTTGAATGCCTTATTGGCAGAAAATGTATTCATTGTTATCTTGCTCATTGTAAACTAGGAGTACAGTACACTGTACAAATGAAGTATTTTTTTTACTCTGTATAGTCAACTTGTTTCACCTGTTAAGCTGCTTTATCATTACACCCTGTTTACCTGTCAGGTACTTCCACTTACACTTTTTCCTATATAAAGCTGCTTATTCATACAACTTTCACAATTTTCAGCTGACTGAACTTGTACTTTTTTCACCTATTCAGCTGCTTGTTCATACCTTTATATACCTGTTCAGCTACTTGTTCATATCTTTCTTACCTGTTCAGCTGCTAGTTTGTATCTTTTTCACCTTGTCAGCTGCTTGTTCATACCTTTTTCACCTGTTCAGCTGCCTGAACTTCATACTTGGATCGTTTCCCAGGTAGTGTTCTGATCAGGTCCAGTAAACCATCCTCATCTATTTGTTTGGTTCCAAAACTCCTGGCCTATAATAAGAGAAAAAAACATGGCTTATAATTTGAGGAAATTAAGAAAATTCCATTAGACTCTATAATAATATATCATATTTATATCCACTTAACACTGCCCTGATCTTAGTACATAAACCAGGTTAATTTATGATCTTAGGATTGTGAAAAGAAGTTAAGTAAGATATTCAACATAATGAAAGTTAAGATGTCAAAGTTTTTGACAATCTTTAGCTATGGAGATCAACATATCCCAGATCTACATGTAAATCCAATATCAACACATGACTATACCAATGTTTGTATATTCTGCATGAATGTTCGATTCTAAATGAACTTGTTTCACCCATTCATAACTAGAGAAGGGAGAAGGAAAGTTTCTATTATGCTTTCTCCACATTATAACAACTAGAAAACTGACCAGTCAGCAAGGGCCCCGCCATGGGGTAGAATTAAAAGGGTGCAGCTTACGGAATGATTAAAAAATGTACGAAGAATAAGCAACAGCAACTGTATTCTTAAAACTGTATTCTTAAAAATTCCTGAATATTCAAAAACCTGAAAATAATATCCTTGTATTTACATTAGGCAGTAAAGAACAATTTAACATTGAATGTATTAAACAATTATGAAGCTTGTGTTATATAGAATGCCAGCCTTCAATGAATGCAAATATCATGAAGGCTTGACCTTAGCTTCAAACAAACAGCAGTTGCAAACAAAGGTTTTCATTAATCTTAAAGATAAAGAAAAGCCTACTAAATTTTCTGCAGCAGGCTAGATAATTGATCCCAAAGGATTAATTGTACCTCTCTCATCATTTTCTTCTAAAGTTACAATAAGAACTTTTTCAGTATTAATGATAGAATGGGGTTTTTATAAAACTACCTTAAAAATTAATTAACATAAAGTAAAAAAAGTAATTCAAAAAATCTTCTTTAATCTATTTCTTGTTTTTAGAATTCAATGAAATCATAACTATTAAACAAAAATAAATTATAAAAATTTATACCTAAATCCACATTCCCCCCCCCCCCACACACACACACTCTCTCTCACAGTGTTCATAGCATTCCAAATTGACTTAACTTCAAAACAAACTTCATTTGCAGACAGAGGTGGTAATTCATCTCAATGTGACAGATAAAGATAATGCTCTGGATTTTCTTCAGGAGGAAACCTAATTAATCCCAAAGGACTCATAGCCAGCATTCATTTCACAATGGGAACATCTTCAGCAGTTATCTCTCTTTGCCAATGCATTCTAAAGTTAAGGAATCTACCCCACCACCCCAGCTCCAAACCAGGGGACATAGAGAACCAAACTTAGCATCAAAATATGTATTTCTGCCTACTGAACTAATATACCAAATTTGAACTTGATTGGGCAACCAAAAAAAAAGTTGCCCATTCATTCTTATGCATAGTAAAGGAATCTACCCCACCACCCCAGCTCCAAACCAGAAGACATTGAGAACAAAACTTAGCATCAAAATATGTATTTCTGCCTACTGAACTACCATACCAAATTTGAACTTGATTGGGCAACCATAAAAAAAGTTATTAGAAAAAAACAGAAAATTTGTGGACGGAAGAGAGACAGACGGACAGACAGAGTGATTACTATAGGGCACCCGCAAATCCTTGCAGGGCCCTAATTATGTATGACTTGGAAGACAGAACTTATTTTATTTCACCACATTTTGATGATTATGTATAACAAAGTCAGACCTTGGCCAGTTTGCTTTCCCCACAATCCCGTCCTGTCACTAGGTAACTAGTCTTTTTACTGACGTTCCCCGTCACCTTCCCGCCGTATTTCTCTATAAGACTCTTAGCCTCGTCACGCTCCATCGACTCCAACACTCCAGTTATTACAAAGGTCAAGGACTCTAAACAGTTTTCTCCACCCTGAAAAAAATATTTTGTATAAAAAGTAGAAAAATAGTAATGAAGCCCATAAACCACAACTCTCACCTGAGTCCATATTGCTGAGCTGTATTTCATCATCAGATTTTTTTTTCTGTTTTGACTTCCTATCTTACATTTTCATCCCTCTTGTGCACCTATTCTATCCCCAAAGTGTAATGATATAATGATTAAATAAAACTGAATATACACTATCTGAAGATGCATTAATATTCACATGACAAATCTTGCTTTGTTGTTCCTGAGAAGATTTTTTTAAGACATGGTCCAATCCTACCATGGGATCATGATTTGGACAAACTTGAATCTGCACTACTTTACGACGCTTCATCCACATTCAATATGATCCCTTAATGACAAAATTTGACGTACTGGCCATATCCTTAGAGTGTTTGCCTGGCTGCCCCCTAGACTGTTTTAGATAAATTGGTGTGCAGTTAAAACTGAAGTGTCTGGGGTCAAAATATTTAATTTATACTATTTACCATACATCACTGGATTTGTGATAAATTAAAATTTTCAAATTTATTGTCAAAATTCTGATTGGGAATTTCTATAAATAAAGAATTCAAGTTAAAGCAGGTGTAAATCGCAACAAGATATCAACATGTAAAATGGATTAAGTAAGCTTACCATGTAATAAGGCAAAATTGTCTGTAGAAAATATAAACAATAAAGTGTGATGATATAATTGACGATTAAATTATAATTTGGTATCAATTCTAAAAGTTAAAATTTGGCAGAAGTGAATAAATTGTAGTGCTACTTCAATGTCATCTCACAGACTAATTTTCAGACTTGCATGATAAAACATGGTTTTTGATAGTTATTGTTCACTTGAAATTGGTCCAGATCTTTTAAATAACGGTAAAACTCGGTTATATCGAAGTCAATGGGACCCATGAAATTACTTCGCTATATCCGTAATTCATTATATCTGTATAAGGAATTCATTAAATTTATATAGTTGGGGATCTACGATAACTTTGCTATATCAGGGAATATGCTATATTCATGTTCGTACTTAATGAGTTTTACTGTAATAATTTTCTTTTTCTTTACATTGATAAAATATGTGTAAAATGGAGGGTATCTACTGAATTTCTGAGGAACAGGTAACGAAATTGGCACTGTGAAGTACTGAATTTTGCCATATTTTCGTATCTTATTCTAGAGTATTTTATAAATACAGATCATAATAATTTATATAACTTTCATGAAATAGGTAGCAAAAGCTTAAATTCCATGTAGTACGTTATTGGATTAAAAATATATTCTTATTAACCAAGATTTATGTTCAAGAAAATATTTTATGTAACAGTCCAACAGTTCAAATTTTGATGACACTTTCCATAACATTTTAAGGAGGCTCATTACAGCACTTTTTGATGACATACTACACAAAAAAATAAACCTCCACTGTATAGACCATTTTCCTCTGGGGACGAATTGTACGGATACCTCTATAATATGACCCTGACCTTTAAAACGCTTTAAAAATAGATGAAACATGCGATGTAAACAGCTGAAAACAAACAAAACGGATTCATTATGCAAAAACCAAGAAGGATTGCTTTTAAGCAGAAACAAAAGAAAACAACTCAATCTTCGCCGAACAAGTAATGTGCAATGTCATAGTGACACAGTGAGCTCTGTCAATCAATGACATGTGTTTGTATGGAGGAAATTCGAGTTAAAATCTACAACCTTGTTGAAATAAAAAAACGTTATTTACTTGCAATATTTATTGTGCTGGTGTTTATATAATTGCTTTATTTATTTAAATATATACTCGGGGAATTTAAAGCTTTGTTCTGAATTTTACATGTAATGTTCAAATGTTCCGTATTGTTTTGAGTCTTGGGTAATTAGGACAGATAACTCTTGAAAGTGGACTTTTCATACCAGATATTTTTTAAATTGGAATTTTCATTTCATTAAATTATTCTTCATTCAATTTGTCACATGCAATTCATTGAAATACATTTCCAGTCTCTCCAGAGCTCCTTTTCCTAATATTTTATGCACAGATTTAAAAGATAATGACATTAATTGTTTTTTAGGAGAAAACTATTTTTTGTAATAAAATTAATATCAGGTCTTATGATGTATTTCCATTGTGTGTTCTTGTCTAAAGAGTATGTCCATGATTTGATACTGAAAGTTCTGAAATTCTGGTAATAATAAACTTGAAATAAAACATTTCACTAAAATTAGAAAGAAGTTTAAAAATTCACTAAAAAATATTTATGATACCAATACCTCTTTATGGATATTTGACATCTACATAATAAGTGGTGCTGTATTGAAATCTAAAATAAACTGTGGGTGTAATGAGCCACCTTAATTTGTTTACACAGGTAAATCATGTGATTTTTAAGTGAAGGATGAAGCAATCATCTATTGTTAACCTGTAGGTGGGCACCTGTGTTCTGGTTGTCGTAAACAAGTAGAATTTTCAAGTCAAATCAACAACAGAATACACATGAGTCAAAAGTAGTCAGTAAGGGCATCAAATTGTGGCATTAATCAGAAATAGAGCTGAACATGTGAATTAAAAATTCAGAATCTTTGAAATTTTTAAATGCCCTGACCCTCTTTTGCCTTTCATAACCATCTCCCTGTAGAAGGGATTTTAACAATTAAGAACCCCCTTTACTTTGGAATGCTTTGTACCAAACTTGGGATAAAATTGGCATGGTGGTGCTAAAGAAGTTGTTAATAACAGAAGTTAATACATTAGAAAGAAGAATCAGGAAAGCTCACTTGTGCTTTCAGCTCAGGTGAGCTCAAATTGAAATTTGTTGTTTTTTTTTCTTACAATTTTTAATCCCTGCATTGTCTACAAAGGGGAAATATTTTTCAAAATCTCCATATTAACCTTTGGATAAATTACAGTTAGTGAAAGAGCCACTGCAACTGTCACTTCTGTTGAAGTGTTCAATATTTGGAACCTGAATTTTGATTTTTGCTTTCAGTCACCCAGACCCCATTTTAAAAGGAATTCTCATAGACTATTATAGTCACCTCATTGATCATGCCTAAGAATGTACACATTTTACACCATCTTAATTAATTGTAAGGATTCTACAGAAGCTGATTACAGTGACTGACACACATACCTCTGGGATTTCCTTAGATCCTAATGCTTGTGGGCCTTCTCTGTTCAGGTAACTCCGATATGTGCTGCCTTTTTTGGCCAAGGACGGAGTTTCTGGTGACTGTTAAAAATAAAATAAAAAATAAAAAATTATAATCAAATTAATGAAAAAGAAAAATACACATAATGTTTAAAATTAACCAACAAATTAATACTTGCTCCTGATCAATATTTCGACAGGATAGTTTAAATATGCAATTTGATTCTTGGAAACTTACCTATACACAAAAATTAAAGAAAATTGTAAGAAAAAGTGAGCAAGCTCACATACCCCATGCTCCCCCAAAACTCAAAGTGCCAAAAATTCCATAAAAAATAAAGGAATCAAAATTTCCTGACAATATGCATATCTACACATTGTGTCCTAAATATCTGAAAAGTTTGACCAAATTCTGTGAAGCAGTTTATGAGTTACACTGACAAACTGTTCATCTCTATATTCAAGATATGGCCAAAATTCTAAGTTGAAAAGTGCCGAAATTCCCGAAAAAGATAAAGGAATCGGAATTTCCTGGTAATATGCACATCTACACATTGTGTCCTAAATATCTGCAAAGTTTGCCTGAATTCTGTGCAGCGGTTTATGAGGTGTTGCGCTGACAAACTGTTCATCTCTATATTCAAGGTATGGCCAACAAGAGGCCCAGGGGCCACAGCGCTCACCTGAGCACATCGGCGTTCATCTTAGAATCTACACTACCTGAGGATGATTCCATATAAATACCCCGGGTATCACTTTCCAGGCGTTCATCATTTGAAAAGAAGATTTTAAAAGAATCTATATACCTATGTAAAAGGATGCCATTCCATATGAACAAAAATACCTACCGGGTATCACTAATCATAGCTTTGAAGTACTTGAAAAGAAGTTTTAAAAGGTTTTCCTATATATCCCTATGTAAAACTTGGGTCGGCCATTTTGGCCCCACCCTTGCCCCGGGGGTCATGATTTGAACAAACTTGAATCTACACTACCTAAGGATGATTCCACATGAGTTTCATCTTTCCTGTTCTAGTGGTTCTTGAGAAGAAGATTTTTAAAGATTTTTCTTATATATTCCTAAATATTTTCTTATATATTCCTAAAACTTGGGTCGGCCATTTTGGCCCCACCCTTGCCCCGGGGGTCATGATTTGAACAAACTTGAATCTACACTACCTGAGGATGATTCCACATGAGTTTCATCTTTCCTGTTCTAGTGGTTCTTGAGAAGAAGATTTTTAAAGATTTTTCTTATATATTCCTATGTAAAACTTGGGTCGGCCATTTTGGCCCCACCCTTGCCCCGGGGGTCATGATTTGAACAAACTTGAATCTACACTACCTGAGGATGATTCCACATGAGTTTCATCTTTCCTGTTCTAGTGGTTCTCGAGAAGAAGATTTTTAAAGATTTTTCTTATATATTCCTATGTAAAACTTGGGTCGGCCATTTTGGCCCCACCCTTGCCCCGGGGGTCATGATTTGAACAAACTTGAATCTACACTATCTGAGGATGCTTCCACATGAGTTTCATCTTTCCTGGCCCAGTGGTCCTGGAGAAGAAGATTTTTTAAAAATGCCATTAATTTTTAACAAATTCATGATTATCTCCCCTTGGAAAAGGGTGTGGCCCTTCATTTGAACAAACTTGAATCCCCTTCACCCAAGGATACTTTGTGCCAAGTTTGGTTGAAATTGGCCCAGTGGTCTTGAGAAGAAGATGAAAATGTGAAAAGTTTACAACAACGACTACGACGACGACGACAACGACAGACAACGGACAAATTTTGATCAGAAAAGCTCACTTGAGCCTTCCGCTCAGGTGAGCTAAAAATCTAAGTTGAAAAGTGCCAAAATTCCCGGAAACAATAAAGGAATCAGAATTTCCTGGTAATATGAACATCTACATATTGTTTCCTAAATATCTGCAAAGTTTGACCAAATTCTGTGCAGTGGTTTATGAGGAGTTGGGCTGACAAAAAAATAGTACTGACAGACTGACTGACTGACAGACAGGTCAAAAACATTATATCTCACACAACTTGTTGCGTGGGGTATAATAACTTTTATCCCGCTTCAGACAAATTTGTAGATTGCTGATTGGATAAAGGCTGATCACATGATGCTCTGAAATTTTCTGTATTACGTCGCCGTCAAGGAGTAATATGAAAATCGCGCACGCGATTACGTTCGAAGCGTTGCTTTTGTAAATAAAAATGGCGGCTAAGAAACAGTTTACGTAGGTAGTTTAGTTAAATTTCTTGATACCGTAACGATATTTTATGTTGATTGTTATTGGATTGAAACTTAATATTTTCATAATATGCACAAATATTTTTTTTATATTGAATAAAGTCTTCAGCGGGATAAATTTGTAACACAGTCAATTAGTGACCTAATACAGATTCATACAGGGTGTGAAATGTAAATCTGTATTGGGACTCGGCTTCGCCTCGCCCAATATGGATTTCCATTTCACACCCTGTATAAATCCATATTAGGTCCCTAACTGACTGTGTAACTAATAATATTATTCTCAACTTGTGTGACTTTTATTCTGTTGGAATTATCTGTCCAATTTTATAAACAAGTTATAAAATAATTATATAACCTATATATATATGCTTATTTTGACATGTCCATTGTGTAACACATTCATGATGATTCATCAAAAACCATTTACATATATATATATGTCAGGGTTGAACAGTATTATTAAAGTACAAGTTTATCTTTTAAAAAGATAGGTGAGCTAGCGCCGTAGCAATTTTTAAACACAGAAAGGAGGGTCCGTGATCAAGTGATTTATTTTGCTGAATTTTTAAATTTTTAATGAGGCTGGAGAGTGTTAAAGTTATAATTGTTTTGTGAAGTGTATTTTATAGACACATAGGTAAAGAAACGGGGGGTGGGGGGTGTGTGTTGACCTATTGGAGTTTTGGCGCAACGGAACATTTATGACTTTTACTGGAGAGCGGAGAGATTATGTATAATATGGAGAAGATGCCGATTTAGGCATTGCATGAGCTGATTTAAGAATAGAATTTCTTGGCAATGTAGCAAAGAAAATACAGGGGAGTTAAAAGGAATATAAAAAATAATTCAAAGTGTATGTTGTATAAAGATATCCAGAAAGATGTGAAGTAGCTTGGTTCTTAGGGTCATCTATGTCAAATAGTGTTAGGTTAAAATTCATACACATCTGAATATTTTTGAAATAAATAATGGATTTATTCGTTATTTTAGTATAAATTCTTGTTTCTGGAATTTGGCTGAATTTCAGCTTGGCTGAATTGACCAATCAGGATTGGCTGAATTAGAGTCTATCTTTGGTTGTGCTTAGACGTAAAAAAAACTCCCTTGTGTTTGTTTATAACAATCAGATAATGACTCCGGCTTTTCTGTCAAAAAAAACTGAAAATCTGAAGTATTTCAAATATGTAGTTATCTTTAAAGTGTAAGCTACACAATAAATAAACATAGTCGTTTAATGCTACAACATGCTACAATGAAATTGTTATCGTACGGTCTATCTATAGTAGTTTTCACAGTTTTCCCAGAATGCACGACCATGAAACCGAGCATGCATATTCAAGGAATTTGGACTAACGTAGTTGCTAGCGCTCGAGAGCGCTAGCAATAAAAGCACTTTTTCTGATATAATGGACCTGCTCAAAGACCCCCCATGGTAGTGGACCTCTGCTCTAGAGGTGTTTAACACAAAAAGTTCAACTACCTACTAGAATTACAAACACATCAAGTACACTTGTTGACTATGTTTATACTAATTTACCTGAAAACCTGTGAAAATTTAAGTGCCCCCTCCCCTTGCTTTATCAGACCAATACCCTGTGTATATCACAAGAAAAGCAAATAAATTCTTACGTAAAGGAATGCACACTGAGTGAGATAACACAAAGATGCTTTAAAAACTTAAATGAGCACTATTTCATGAATGTTTAGAGTGAAAGTGCTAATTTTACAGGGGCTGACAAATAGATTTTTCAAGCACTTGCCCACGGGCAAGTGCATGGTCAAATTTCACTTGCCCTACTTCAATTTTTACTTAAAACTTTCGGTAAAACTTGCATAATGATGACACAATTAAACTGGTTCGCATACGAAGTGTGACAAACAAAGGAAGATAACTCTAACAACACAATAATTTTAATTTCGTGGAAAACTATGACATTTTTAAAAATATTTATTGATTGTTTTTTTTTAGAGTCACTTGCCCACGGGCAAGTGCCTATTAAAAATTCACTTGCCCGCCACTAAAATTCACTAGCCCTGGGCATCGGGCAATGGGATTTGTCAGACCCTGTAATTTTACATCACACATTACATGCAAACGAATCCACTCACCACTGCATTTAACAATTTGAGAAAGGTACATCTGTACTATCCCTGAATGGTATTTTAATGCCACTGACAGTGTTTTTAAAAGGCCATGCAAAGTTAATTCCTTGGTTCTCAGGCCTTTTTTTGAGAACAAGAGATGTTTGTAAAACACTTATGCCCCCCCCCCCCCAATTGGAATTTTTCCAAGTCCAAGGCACATAACTCTGTCAAAAATGGCACGATCGTACCCAAAACAGAACTTGACCTAGATATTGATATGATATATCTGTATACAAAATTTCATTTCAGTATGTGCAACGGTTGCAAAGAAAATGAACGGAAACTGCAAATAATTGAAATTTTTCTAAGTCCAAGGGGCATAACTCTGTCAAAAATGGTGCGATCGTACCCAAAACAGAACTTGACCTAGATATTCATCTGATAAATCTGTATACTAACTTTCATCTCAGTATGTGCAACAGTTGCGAAGAAAATGAACGGAAACTGCAAATAATTGGAATTTTTCTAAGTCCAAGGGGCATAACTCTGTCAAAAATGGCGCGATCGTACCCAAACCAGAACTTGTCCTAGATATTCATCTGATAAATCTGTATACTAACTTTCATCTCAGTATGTGCAACAGTTGCGAAGAAAATGAACGGAAACTGCAAATAATTGGAATTTTTCTAAGTCCAAGGGGCATAACTCTGTCAAAAATGGCGGGATCGTACCCAAA